GATGTGCATGGATTTGCATCAATTCAAGAGTTCGGATTTGAGGTGTGTGGCTGCCACATATGAGGGGTGGCCCGGCTCGGTCCGCTGACATGCCCGAGTGCGTCCGCAGACGTATAGGGAATGGATTTTCCAAGTCCGGTTGTATATGCTCTGAGTTCAAGTCACAACATACGCATTTTTTTTTGTTGAATTTATAACCAACCGCTTTTGAAAAAAAAAACTGCCAACGATTAGAGGAAGGTGGTTGTGACTAGCGAACAGATGGAAAACAATGGAGGGAATCCCGCTAGCGGTGTGCAATCAGAGAGAATCGTTCGGTACTTTAGCAAATTGATCCATGGGGATTTCTGCAAGAATTAACCCATGAAATTACATGTCTCCATATATATCCTGGTTGACCAACCTTGGATATCACCGGCTAATAAAGTGAAGTTGTACAAGGCCGAAAGAAAAGAATCTCAAGTGCCGTGAGGTAATTAATTAATTAACGAATCAAAAGTCTCAGTCGAGCTAGCTGGTTCACAGCAGGCAAACTACTACGTTGTTGTCAGAGTATTTAACCTTGTGACCATCGAGATGTAATAAATAAATAAATTATACTCCCTCCTTTCCGATTTATAAGACTCAATTCAAAAATCTCACCAACCAAGATAGATGATGAGTGGTGGAATACTTTTATAGTTTGCAAAACCCAATTAATGCTTTTGTTTTCCTCAAAAAAATATGTTTATCAATGCATTAATTACAATGCATGCATACATAAATTACATGCATTGATCAATTTTCTCTTAATACTTGCATGTAATGATTTAATGCAACTTGAAATCTGAACATGTGATGGAAAACAACCAAATTGAACTTTATAAAATGGAAAAACTAAAATTTTGAGATAAACCTTATAAACCGGAAAGGAGGGAGTATGCAGCAAAACATTTGGTACCTCGACGTCGAGATCGATCGACAACGCACCACCATCGGCACGACTTTTTTTTAAAAAAAGAAAAAAGGTCATCGTCAGTGGGCACTCGCTACCGAGGCGCGTGGGCCCACGCGGGACGTCCACGAGAAGGGGAAAAAACGGAGGTGGGCCCAATATGGCAGCCCGCCACCGGCCGTCCGAAACGGGCTATAAATAGGGCCCTCCTACACTTGTCTCCCTCCCTTTTCCCTCTCCCGCCACTCGCACAGCACACTCCAGGTTACGCTGTGACGCTTCTGCCCCTGGCGAGCTGCCATGGCCCTCTCCGACGTCGACCTCGACTTCGAGGCCTTCCTCGCCTACCTCGGCTCCGGCCTGGACGAGGCGCCGCCGTCCGTGCCGGCCATGTCCTCGCCGGAGGAGGGCGTGCTGAGCCCCGCTGCCCCGTCCTCGCCGGATCTTCTTCTTCCCATGCTCGCGTCGTCGCCGGAGGAGGGCATGCTGCTGAGCCCCGCCGCCCCGTCGCTGGAGGCGCCGCCCATGACCACGTCGTCGCCGGAGGAGGGCACGTCGTCGGGATCCGCGGGGACCGTCGCCGCCGCCGGACCAGACGACGGCGACAGGGAGCGGAGGCTCCGCCGCAAGGTGTCCAACCGCGAGTCGGCGCGCCGGTCACGCGCGCGCAAGCAGCGGCACCTCGAGGAGCAGCGCGCCGCGGCCGCCACGCTCCGGGCCGGGAACCGGCACCTCGCCGAGAAGCTCCGGGTGGCCAGGGCGCGCGCGGGGCTCGTCGCGCTCGCCAACGCCCGCCTCCGCGCCCAGGGCCAGGCCCTGAGCCGCCGCCTCGACGCCGCGCGCCAGGCCCTCGCCCTCAGGCAGCTCTACGCCGCCGCGTCGGCCTCCGGCGGCGCCCTGGACATGCAGGCGCTCGCCTCGCTGATCCGGTAGCAAAGCGCATGGCACGGCGCGGGCGCACGCACGAGAAGATGTTTTTTGACCTGCTGCAACATCGATCGAACGAACGAACGGACGACGAACGTACGACGGACGGGCTGCTATTAATCACAACCCATAAGAAGCTAGCACTATGCATGCATGATCCTTGATTATATATAAAAGCAAGAAATTGTGGATGGAAAATGGCACCAAAAAAACGTACCTACTTGCTGCTTGATCGATGCTGCTGCTGCTCGAACATCGCCGATTTCTGCGCTCCCTCTGATCGGAAATGGACGGCCAGGATCGGTCCAGCGAGCAGGAGATGCTCTTCGACTCCCTCCGCTGGATCTCAATTATTGTTGTCTCTGTGATTTAGTAGCTAGTGCTGCAGCTTTGCTACATATCTGTTGGCTGATTACTGGATGGATGTATCCATCGATCGTCTCTGTGTCCTTCTTATTCCTCATGTTTGGCACCTGTCACCCTCATGCATGCCTCTCTAAATCTATATAATTTCTTGTCACCGGCCGAAAGTTGGTGAAGGAGTTGCACATATGCTTGTCCTCATTGTCCCATCATTCTTCTCTCCCCTCCCTCCCTCCCTTTGTGACACTCTCTCTCATAGAGAGAGAAAGTGTGTGTATGTATGAAAGTGATGCACCATATATTAATTTTGTTGAGTATCGATCGATTCCCTTCTCCTATGGGTACATATGCCCATGGCGGCTGCTTTATATATGCTCGTCTATGTCTGTTTATGGTGGTGGTGGTGGTGGCGAGTCATCGTCGAAAGCAAAGACCGCGAGGTAGTCATTGCGGTTTACGTCTCCTTTTTTCGGGAAATCATTTTACGTCTCTAGTGTCTTTGACGAACGACTGCCTCTTTTGTGCTGCTTTTCCAAGCTGATTTTGATGATGGCGCTTTCGCCACTCTTTCACGAAAGAATGTTGTGGAATGATGCATGATGTGAAACAGTAATTACACCAGCCATAAGATAGAAAAACCTTTACAAACCTCTTTTTCTTCTAGAGAAATCGGTTTACGTATCTCTAGAGCCTTTGCGAACCGCCATCTCTTTTGTCTGGTTGTTTCCAAGATGATTCCGTTGATGACATTTTGGCCACCTTTTCTGGGACATTAGCCATAAGAAAAATCTAGTATGATTGGTTATTGTTTTCACGATTGCTATTTGACAGTTGCCTGAAACCGATTCTAGCGTGAATAGATTTTTGGAGAGATTAAGGTGAGGGGCAGAGCGCCGAGCCGCATACGAGGAGCTCGTGGCATCCCGGGTAAGGGATAGCCAAGAATGACCCGAGCTCGGAACAACACATCTAGCCGCGATATTGCAGATGGAGGCGACACAAAGGGTTGACGGTTCGGGGTCCAGGGTGGGCTACCGGGGGAAGGGGACTTAATTAGGAGGGTGGCAACTTGGGCAATGGCTGTTTGGCGAGATGGACAAGGAATCGACGACCGACCACTAGCGTCTAGGGTTGAGGCCTGGGGGGGTTAGGCATGCACTGGAGGGTGCTCAACACGGGGAAGAACAAGAAAAGCGCACACGCTCAAAATCGACTGCCAGTTCAACAAAATTCAGGTAACTTTTGTATAGTTGCCCCCTTTTTGTCCTGATTTTCACTATCCAAAAGTTGGTGGAGGAATCGCATATATGCTTGTCCTGATTGTCTCATGATTCTTCTCCCCCTCCCATTTGTGATGTTAAGAGATAGAGAAAGTGTGTATGTGAAAGCGATGCATCATAATTTTGTCGAGTGTCGACACTTCCTATCGTACATACACCCATGGCGGCTTTATAAATACACATGTCTATCTTTTCTGATGATGGTGAACATGCGCGCGCACACACACTTATCCCTATGGATGCATGACGAGTTGTCATCGAGACATCGTCGAAACCGAAAAAGAACGAGGTAACCACACAGTTTACGTCTCTCGAGTGTCTTTACGAACCACGGTCTCTTTTGTGTTTTTTCTTCGAGCTCGCTTTTGCTTATGGCACTTTCACCGCATTTTCTGAGAAAGAACATTGTGGTTGTATAGCTTTATTGACGGTGAAACAGTAATTACCACGTCCCCAAGAAAAGTCAATACGCCTGGTTATTGTCTCTCCAGAATCGTGCCGCCCGGCTTTGCAACTTAAAATTTAACCTTCACTGTGAAAAAAAAATCAAATGAAAAATTCTACTAACCGTGTCCGCATCTACGAATTTTGTCCAGGGAGAAAAGGCCTTCTAGAAGGGCCTCTCTCTTCGGCCCACAAACGAACTTGTGCTGTAAGGCCCTGGCGGGCTATGCGCGGCCCAGGTTACAGATAGCATGTATTTGCTCTTGTTCACAGTTCACAGTTCATTTTTATTTTTATTTTTTTTAGGATATTGTTCACAGTTCCTCTTCTTCTTTCACCTCGCCTTAGTTGGAGGCTTCTGTAACCTCAAGGTCAAAGTAAATAAGAAAACAGATGCCTGAATTGAATCCATGGCGGCCTTGCTCGCTCATCTCCGCACATGAATCATCATTTTAAAAGCACCAGCTTGCCACCCCTTGAGCAAACAACATCGCCATCAGATCAAAAATCTCACCTTGTTTCTTCCTAGCAGTGTTTTTTATCCATCTTCCCGCCATTTCAGCGGATTGCACCACGCACGCATGACTCCTCCACCTTTCCACCACTCCTCGGCGACCACCTACACCTACCAAGAGAAGAGAGTCAGTGGGACGACCTTCTTTCCTGTTCACAACAGGTCTCTCTGTCTCTAGAACACACACTTTTTTTTACCTGCAAAAAAAAATAGAACACACACTTTTTGTCAGTGAGGCCCCTTACGACAGTGGTAATTACAGCGGCAGTGCCCTACCACTGCTTTGCTTTTCAGGAAGGAGAGGGAGAAGGAGAGGAGGAGGAGACATGTCGAGCTTTGCATCAGGATCAGTCGCCGTCCACAGCCCCGCCATGCATGTCGATGGATTGTCCATAGTCCGTGAGAGCTAGTGCTCAGCCGCTACAAGTTCAGAAGCGCACCTGACAGAGGTGAGCTGAGCTGAGTTCTCCTGGCACTTGCAGGAGCTAGCTAGCGTTGCACGCACCTCTCTGTCTCTATTCTGTTTCTACCTGCTTCCATGGTCGGCGGCAGGAGGCTCTCGGAGCTGCTCCGGGAGCAGCAGGAGCCGTTCCTCCTCCTTCACGGAGAGCCCTGCTGCTCCTCCGTCCAAGACAGGGGCGCCAGGGCTTCTTGGCGTAGGGCCATGAGGAGGGCGCTGCCGCGGTGGCGCTGGGCCGGCCTTGCCGCCGGATGCTTCCCCTGCACCGCCCGCCGCAAGCGCGAGAGCTTCCGCCCTCTGCCGCGCGCGGGCCACGCGTGCTGCAACGACGATGCTGTGGCTACGGAATCCGACGGCGGCGACGGCGCGAGGCGGCTCAGCCCGGTGTCCGTCCTGGACGTGCTGCGCTGCTCCGACGAGGAGGAGGAGGCGTCGTCGTCGCCCACGCTTAGCCACTGTAAGCACTACACTACTCTGCTTCTGACGTCACCGTTCCAAGGAGAATTCTCCTCTGCTTGGTTTCATGCTCTGCTTCTTGATAAATACAGCAGGGGAGGAGGAAGACAACGACGAGAAGCCATCGTGGACGCCAGCTGGGAGCTCGCCGCCACCACCCGACCCGCTCACCGACGAGAAGGAGGAGTGGAGGAAGGTGGTTTCGTCGTGGGAGCGGATCGCGGGGGACATCGCAAGGGTCCCGGCGCTTGCGGAGCTGGACCTTTCAAGCTCCATGTCGGCGAGGGAGTGGGAGTGGCACGGGGAGTCGGAGGCAGAGCGGGTGGGCGCGAGCGTGGAGGCCATCATCTTCGAGGAGATGAGCGCGGAGGCCGTGCGCGACATGGTCGATCGAGCTATAGCGAGTCGGAGCGCTCCTAGTCCAAGCTAGCTTTGCAACTGGCTCAACGAGATTTCTACCATTTCTGGGTTCAGTTGGTATAAACAGTACTCTACGTAGTATAATACTTGTAGTGTACTAAGTATAGCTAGGAGCAGACTCTGGTTGCAGTTGCAGTTGTACTACAGGGCAGTGGTATCCGATGCAAAAATGTATATGACTCGAGAAGAAAAGAAAAAGAAAAATCTCTGGAGATATTTTACATTTTCTACTACACTAGAGTTTAGACATGCTGCTGGAGATGCTCTTACAAGTATATATGCAATGAAATTGGCTAATGTCCAAGACTGATTTCCGAACTCTGTATACGCATGACAAAATATCATCCAACATCACTCAGTACACTGGATGTTAGAGCATCTCTAGCCGTTCCGCACCCCCGGGCTCGAAATAGCGTCTCCTGGGGCGGCTGCCGGCGCTTTTCTGCCCGCGGCGGTTCCCAACCACCGTCCCAGGTCGACCGCCAGACGCCGTTTTTTGAAATGAAGTTCGGCTAAAATTAGACCGAAAAGACACGAATTCAACGGGTTTCATTCATATTCGGCGGTTTTCATTCATATTTGTACATAATAAAAAAGCCATAATAAAAACGCAAAAGAAAAAACTACGCCGTCGCCGCTGTCGTCGTCTCCTGCACGCCGCCACCGCCATCTTTGCTGCACTCCTGACATGCGTCG